GACAACACTGGGAACTGTGACAACTCTGTTGGGAATGCAGGTTGGTTCCTCCCTTTTTAAAGTTCTGGAACATGACTTTATACATTGCTGGTGCCTGTCTAATGAATGAATTTATCTAGTCTAGATTGTGTGGGCCAAGCCATTCACAGAAGCAAATAGAAGAACACACAAATGTTGAGACTATGTGGTTGTTTATCTCATCACTTCGGGCACAAGTACATCTTTCACCTGCTTCTGACTAGAGAGGACTAGAAATGGGAATGATCCAGGAAAATTGCAGTTCATGGTGGTTCATGGTTTGTTGTTATTTCACAAACTACCAACCATGAACCTTTGACAAAATGAACTGTTTTGTGGTTCATGTGATTTGGGGATTCCAGGAGCTGTAGAACAGCCCTCAGATGAATTAAGAGATGCCAAACTCAGAGAGAGTCTGACTCTACTCCCCACCCCCTCCAATTTGATGAATGTTGGATTTGGGATGTCTGAATTACAGCCCCCCCCCCAAAAAAAACAGGTCCTACAAGAAAGTGCTATTTAGCAGCTAGCTAAAGATCACTGTCCTGGGGCGAACTTTCTTTCGAGGACTATACCTTGGATGTTCTACATCCAATCTTCACCAAATTTGGCACGGGTAAGGGAGAGAGTCAGCACAAGACTTTGTCACAGTTTGGTGAAGACTGGATTTAGAATTAGAATTAGAATTAGATTTAGATTTGAATTGTCTGAGTTATAGCCCATGTACAAATCACCAATGCCAATAATAATTTGGTATTTTGTTTCAGCCTGGACAGGGGTGTTTCCCTGAACCACCCTGAAAGATACCACAAAACAGTCCAATTCAGGTTTGTTTGTTTGCTTGTTTGCTTTTGCTTTGTGATTTGTTTTGTGTACATCTCTAGATAACAAAATCTCTAAAATGGAGGGAAAAGGCCCATTTGCTAAAGAATGAGTTTTCCTTGTTCCACAAGTGGCCAATTAGCTTGCTTTGGTCTGGGACTGATCACTGGCAGGTAAATGTGTGTTTAAGATCAGAGTCTGTTTTCTCAACCATGGAGCTTTGAATGAACTGTGTGCCTAAAAGGAAAACTCTGTGACTGTAAGATATACTTATTTGCTTTCAGTGGTCAGTCCCAGGAAATTTATAAACTGCCCCCTTCTCTTGGCCTTCTAGCAACATGTAAATAGGTTTCATTTTTAAAAGACTTTTCATAACTACACTGGACATTAAAGCTAGACTCTCTCTAAGACCTTGGTGACTGTATTCTTTAAGGGTGTTTTAAAGGCTTCTTCAGAGTCTTCAGACAATTAATTTTTACATTAATACAGAACGCAATATATTGCTCATTTAAAATAGAGTTAGAGATACATATTTATATTTAATTCTGTTTTAATTCAACAATATATTGTGTTTTAAATTTTACTTGTCTTTTAATTATTGCGTGCTGCCTTGATTTATTTTATGGGAGAAAAACAACATCATAATATTAATTAATTAATAGATTGATTGATTCTCCAACAGAGAAACATGAATTGGCCTGTTAGGTTATATGACCACAAAGACAGCCCTGAGACTCTATAGGACTCTGTAGCGTATTTAGCATCGTATTTTATTATTCTATTTTATTTTAATGGCACTAAACATAGCTGAGGTTTTCTGCCAGCTCTTCACAGCACTGCCTTTCTCCAGGTCCTGAACCCGTGTGAACATCATTCCCCTCATCTGCCTCAACATACTACTACAGTACTGTATAGCCTTCCCCTACAGAACTGAAAGACACGGCCATACATTTTATCCTACATCATGTAAAATACGGCACCAGGGAATATACACTGCATAATCAATGATCTCTGTGAGGTCAGGCTGCAACGGTTTCAAAAGAGTATGCTGGCCTTCTTAATGTGGCAAGCGGTAATGTGATGTGCTTATAAAAAATAATGCGGTGCAGAAGAAATCTTACCCTGGAAGGCATGAGTGGTGCTTAGTGACCTTTCGTTGTTCCATTTAATGAACCACAGCTAGGAATGCCTGAATTATTCACAGCCAGGAATGTCTGTGACTGCTGCCTCTTCTTTTTAGTGATTATGCCATACTGGAATGTCTACTGTTGGCTGCGTGCGCTATGTGCCAGTTCTGACTTATGGCTGGTTTCTGGGTTAGGTAAGGGGTAGTTTTACCGTTGCCACCCTCCCAATGAGTCTCCTTGGATGAACAGGGATTTGAATCCGGATCTCTTGGGCCAACAGTCTATCCACTACACCACAGTGGCTCTGATGCTAGTCCTTAAGAAATAGACACATCCGTTTTATGTAATACCGTTCATTACATAATCCCAGTGAAGACTTTAGCTTTCCAAGCGTCTGTGGGTCAGGAGTGGCCAAGGTCTCGAGGGCATGAGAGCGTCCCCCAAAATACTGGGGTGAGGCATCATCCCCTAAGCCAGTCTACAAACTGACCATGGCCCAGAGGCCAATTTTCTCTTCCTGGTCTCAGACTGCACTCCTAATTTTCACGGGGCTTTGGGGGGCAAAAAAGAGTGCAAAATGGGATCTCTGATTGTTTAAACAGAGAATCACATCTCCTAATATCTTCATGAGTGGCAACTCTCATTTTTCAGTAGGATTAATTTCAGGGGCGGGGGGTAAGGTTGAGTGGCTGGGAAAGGCCAGAGATGGGGACTTGAGTCATGGGACTCATTCTCAAGTCAGACTTAAGTCCCATTGTCAAGTCAGACTGAGTCCAAGTCAAGAACTCATACTGGACTTGGACTCAGGGTGGGTTTTCCCCCCCAATGATTCAGATTCAGCTTGTGATCTACTTCTGGCTTTCTCAAAGCCAAAAGAAGGGAGGAGAGGAGAAGGAAAAACATGAGACCCTTGGTTGATGTTTCTTGCCAACTTCACAGGTTTCTGCTCCATTTCAGGACTCTGTTCAAAGCACGGGCTGTCAATGGCTGAAATCACCAGTTCCCACCCTTGGGTCCCCAGGTGTTGTTGGACTAAAACTCCCAGAAGACTTCACCACAAGCTGTGCTGGGCAGGATTTCTGAAAGCTGTAGTCCAAGAATGTCTAGAGACCCAAAGTTGGCAACCAGTGGCTTAAATGACATTGACCATCATGTGGAAATGATTATCTCCCCTCCCATATTTTTTTGCTATTCATGGAGGTTAAAGCTATCGATGGTTACTATACATAAGATGTATATTCAAGCCCCTGTATCAGAGATAGTGAGTTTGAGGGTACCAGTTGCTAGAGTACATGAATGGGAGGACAAGACTGCATTCAGGGTTTACTTTTAGACTCCTTGTGGTAATGGTGTCCTTGGCTGCAACACCCTCGCTATGGAACGTTCTGCCCTTGGAAGCTAGGCGACCCCAATACTGATCTCATTTGTGCACCATCTTTTAACATGTCTGTTCACCAGAGCTTTTGGCTCTTAAGGATCTCGGCTTGAAAAGGTTGTGGAATTCGTTAGCATAGGTGTGTTTTTAATATTTTTAAGGAGGTTTTGCTCCAGAATTGGTTGCATTGTACCACTTCCCAGTTTATTTAGAAGTGTGCAGGATATTTTCAGAACAGTGTCACACAGTAAAAAAAGAATGCACTTCTAGTGAAGGGAAGCATCAACTAAACTCTGCCATCTGTCAAAGGATTAAGAACAAACTTTCTTTGCCAGGAATATCCTGTTGGATTTTCTGCCACGTGCAGAAAAAGAAGCCACACAAGTGGGTTTCATTATTTTATTGGATGTCCAGTTGTGCAACAATGATGGACACGTTGAAAATGGTGGAAGTGGTTTTCAGATTTTTTTTACACTCTGAATCATATCACAACACTTAAAATTGGGGATGCACACAATTTGTGCCCAAATAAAGATACACCGGTTGGTGCCCGGCTCTTTCTCACACTCTTTTGTAGACCCTCCATCCCTCTCTGGGTTCATTCTGGTATTTATGATTCCCAGATGTCTGGGATTTTTTTAAAAAAGCACAGTTGTCAGTGGGGAAAAAGCACACAACAATGACTTGGGGGCAGGGTCATCAGAATTATTTCTGGCAGAATTTATTTGAACACCTCCAACTGAGAGAACACAAGAAAAAAAGAGCAGGAGGAGAAAGATACTGGGAACATTGGGAGTGACACCAAAGTTCTGTACCAGAAAGGGAAAAAAAGGAAAGGCATAGTGCAGGGGAGAAAAAGATAAACGCGCCAGCATCCTAAAATGCACCATTTAAAATCTGTATAGGAATGTTGTGTAACCAATGAAGTTTGTAAAAATTGGGGAGAAAGAATTTTTTTTTCAGAAATTTAAAGCCCAGATAATATGTTACACTGATGGAAGTCTCTCACTCTGTACTATACTTAATCTTTCTCTCTGTCTGTCTGTCTGTCTGTCTGTCTGTCTGTCTGTCTCTATGTCTCTATGTATGTTTAAATATGCAGAGAGCCAGTGCTATAGCCAGTGATCATTTTGTGGGGTGGCCAGCTGCACAACAAGGGGTGTGACGGACCTTTTACCAAAGTTTTCAACGCCACAAATATTAGAACTAATATGCAGGATCTGGAGGGAGGGGGAGGGGAAGACAGGGCTCCATCCCACGAGTGCATCAGGTTCTTCCCTCCATCCGGCGGCCATCTTGGAAAGACACAAACAGCTGCGACTTGGTCCCCATGTACATAATGGTCCAAAGATGATGCATATCCCTATTTAATACCATTTCTTGAGTTTTGCCGCTCTCACTTTTAAACACAAAATTTGAGGGGAAAGTCTTTATAAAAGGAAAATAAAAGAAGAATAACTCAGCTATACATCAGCAAGTATTTGGGGACTAGAGATCCCTCACCAGTCTTGATCAGGAGGATTTTCATGTAATTATGTAAGGCAAATTCTACTCCAAAGACTTAAATTGAAAATGTAGGATTATATCCAGCTAATTGCTTTCTTTGTCCTGCTAACAGAGTCATCATGCCTCTGCAGTGTGAAGAACAATTAACTTACCCTTTCCAATGTGATTTCTTCAAATTCATATTCAATCTCTGTTCCATTGACCTGAAGAGAAAATGATAGAGAAACGTATTAATACCTGGGGAGAAGCAGAAGGAAAACCCTGTGTTTTTCATGAGGGCATGAGTTCTTCCAAATACGATGAAATGGATTATTTCCAGATTTTTTTGGGGGGGGGGAAGTCAGTTATACTTTCTCAGCTAGAATAAATATATAGCTCCATGCTTGGAAGAGCAGAATAACATGATGCTAAGGAGAAAAGCACTTTGGACTTGCAACGCCCTATCTTTTGTGGAACATAGAAACCATTCTTTTCAGATGGCCACTTGAGAGACCACCACTTTTAAATACAAACTATGTGCATTGCCTAGTTTGAACCTTTGTTAGCCTAGCACCACAAAGTATATCTAATTCACCTTCTGCTTCACCCTATCCCTAAGATAACACTCCATCCTCCTGGATTTATTGCACTCCAGGTTTCTGATCTTTTACATTTGACTAAACTTTAGAATTGGGATGTGGTGGCGCTGCAGGTTAAACCACAAAAGCCTCTGTGCTGCAGGGTCAGAAGACCAGCAGTCGTAAGATTGAATCCACGCAACGGAGGGAGCTTCTGTTGCTTCTCCCAGCTCCTGCCAACCTAGTAGTTTGAAAGCATGTAAATTCGAGTAGATAAATAGGTACCACCACGGTGGGAAGGTCATGACATTCTGTGTCTGGCCATGTGACCACAGAAACTGTCTATGGACAAAACGCTGGCTCTATGGCTTAGAAATGGGGATGAGCACCGTGTCCTAGAGTTGGACACAACTGGACTAAATGTCAAGGGGAACCTTTACCTTTACAATTTTAGAATATGCCCTTACTCCTCTGTCTTTTCTTCATACTGCATGCAGGATTTTTGCTGCCATCATGGTGAAGACCACACCCAGCTGCAGTAATTTGTTCATAAAAGTAGCAGAAGTCTTTAGAAAAAGAAGCACCTGCCTTTTTCTGATATAACATTTGCAAAAGTGAACATCGGCAGTTTTCATGCCATTTGCTCTGTATTAGCCGAAGTCCGTGGGGACTACTTTGGAATAAGCAGCTTAAGAAAGGGTGGCCTGCATTAAATAGATACATGGGCAAAGGCTTCACTGTTAAGTGTACTGGAGCATGAAAGCTAGGAAGTGTGTTTGCTTAGCATGTATCCCCAGGAGATCTCAAGGGTGCTGTGGTCCTTTTTGCTAAGATCAAGGCTTGAAAAAGATAATTTAATAGAGGTTGTTTGCAAGAAAAGGACACACTTTGCATGTAATGTATTGGATACCCCAGTCAGCATGACCACCTCTGGTTAGGGGATTTCCAAGCTTTGCTAGGCATGACAAAAATGCAAATCATTCATCACTCTCCAAAGACATGTTGGTGTTTATTGACAGTTTGTATAAAACTGTATTGTTACCAAGTCATGTTTATCTCAAAGTAACTATCATCATCATTGCAGAGCTAGAGGGGACTCTATGGATCATCCAGTCCAGCCCCTGGCAAGGAGGGGGACTCAAACTCCCAACATCTGGCTCCACAGCCAGAGACCTAAACCATTGAGCTATCCAGCATTATGTTGATGAATGTTAGGATTCTATCAATAAATAACTCATCTATGGTGACCTAACCCAGTTTTCCCCCCAGCTAATTGTTCAAGGATGGAGATCTTTGTGGGGAGGAGCCATAGCTCAATATTAAATCAGGCACTTCAGATGTAGAAGACCTCCATTTTAATCCCTGGCATCTCCAGGTATGGCTAAATAGAGAACTATGTAGGATATGGAAGGCAACTGCCAGTTGAAAGTGGCCAATACTGGGTTAGATAGAAGAAGGGTCTGATTCAGTCTAAGCCTGTTTTCTATGTTTCAAGATCAGTGGCTCCCAGATGTTCTTGGGCTGCAACTCTCAGAAGCTTTCACCACTAGCTATGCTGGCCAGGATCTCTACAGTAATAATTTAAAGATTTGAAGTTCCTCTTTTCATGTTAAATTACACTTCACAACAAGGGATGTGGTGGCGCTGCGGGCTAAACCGCAGAAGCCTGTGCTGCAGGGTCAGACGACCAAGCAGTCGTAAGATCGAATCTATGCGACAGAGGGAGCGCCCGTCGCTTGTCCCAGCTCCCGCCAACCTAGCGGTTCGAAAGCATGCAAATGCAAGTAGATAAATAGGGACCAGCGTTCCGTGTCTACGTCGCACTGGCCATGTGACCACGGAAGATTGTCTTTGGACAAAACGTTGGCTCTATGGCTTGGAAACGGGGATGAGCACCACCCCCTAGAGTCGAACACGACTGGACAAAAATTGTCAAGGGGAACCTTTACCTTTACCTTACACTTCACAACAACAATCTGTGTTGGCTAGTTGTACCCCTTTGTTGGAAACCAGTGCTGAATGACTGGAGACTTGGCCAAAGCCACATGGAGAGTTCATGGTGGGCAAACCTGAACAGATAGCTCCACATACCCCAGTCACTAAGCTGAGGCACAATGACTGTAATTGTGTTAGGATGTCAACAACAACAACAGCATGCAAGTAACCCACTCCCTCCCTAAATCTGCTCTTCTCACGGCTCATTATGTATTCATTCGGGAGTTACATACAGTGGATTTGCGTGATGTCTGGCCTTTCAAAGGCATACAGAACTTCCACTATAACAGAAAGCAAGTACTTTCCAATTAGTTTAGCTGGATCCAATAACACCAGAATCACTTCTGTGCCGCTTAATGTAGTTACAGAACATCTTCATAAATGCTTGACATCGTTTTTGTTCCAGTCTGTTCCCTACTTTCAGGCCCCAGGGAAGAGTGTGGCTTATGAGTGGTTCTCTCATACCTTTTTTTTCCAGTCGGCTACATTCTCCCTAGCATCAACTGAGGATTCTCCTTAATATCACTAACCTAGTTCGGATGAAATGTCAAAGCTATGGCTTGGCCACTGAGGTCAAATCTTGAGATTGTGGTTCTTCACTTTGTCCTCTATGCTTCTCTCTCTGGCACTCCAGTTAGCAGGAAAATATAGTTTACCATGATGTGGGGATCAAGTAAACTGTATTTCCTATAATAAAAGCCGAACTGGAAAATACACAAACCAGGCAACCTGAGGTAGTTTATAACTCTGGGCCTCAATATTGCTGCAGGTTCAAAGGAATCTGGTTCTATGGATTCTAGACTCAAATCTAAAGCTTGAAAATGTAACTTTTTTTGGAACCACAATTTCCAGAATCATCCAGCCAGCAAGTTGCAGGATGCAATTAACATCCTGAAGAAAAACTTGGAAGTCCCTCTGATAAGCTCCCAGAAATGGTCGCAAATCCGACATCTGAAATGGCAATATTCAAAATGGCAGGAGGGCGCTTCAGCCCCTCAGACCATGCTGTGTATGATATGATGCAGGCAACTGCAGTGTAAAACAGCAAACTGCAGTTCATCAAGAAATTCGTTTCTACCAAATAGTGGCACAAATTGGAATAATGGCTCTTTATTCCACACCACACATTTTAACGAAGTGTTGGATTGCTCAATTGAGGTATCTGGCTGCAGAGCCAGAGGGGGTGAGTTTGATTCCCCACAGGGCCTCCTGGACGGGGGCTAGAATAAAGGATAAGGGTCTCATCCAGCTCTGCCGTTCTGTGATGTGACAACAATAATTAGTTTATCCCTGCCAGGATTTATTTATTTAATGTTTAAATAAATTAATTAAATCATATTAATTTAATTAATTATTTTTTATTTATTTATTTAATGTGGTATCCCCAGCTAAAGGAGGAGAAATCTGTCTTCTCTTGTTCCTGTAGCATTTCTCAAAATCCTACCAGCATCTTAGCAATGTCCCAGTTGTGTATTTGGGTGTGATAGTCCCCAACACAAACAGGGAGATTGTCATGTACTGGGCAGCATGTGTTTTTTTCTCCAGTATATACCATTTGTACAAAGTTATCTAACGTACATTTCTGTACACATTTTCTCCACTGGCCACAGCAATTTTGTGCACATTTTCTAAAGGGATAAGGATTTTGCATACAATACTGTATATCCTCCAAAATTCACCAGAAGCCTCCAAACTATATGGATTTCCAAGACAATAAATGTTCTGTTTTCTTGCCATCTTGGGACATTCAGAAATAATATTGTCACTGGAGAAAAAAAAATCTAATCAGATTTTGATCCTTGTCAGCAACCACTCCTCTTCTGATTGGCCACTGTTAAGGAAAGAATTCATTATTTTCTCTGCTTATTTACATTTTGCTTCCTTCTGGCTTCACTCCTTAGAAGCCTGCCCTTTTCAAGTCTGTGTAATTCAAGACTACCTTGAGGGATGGGGTGTGAATACCATAATGGGGGAAAAATCAGATAAAGAAATAAACACTCTCACTCTGAATTCTCTGTGTATAATTCTTTAAAAAAACAGTTCAGTGTGTTGCATCTGTTAAAATAAATGATTTATGTTCAGAAACTCCTGTCTTAAACTGATATAAAAACAGTGAGCAAGAGGAATTATTTTCAGAGTAAGTCTTGAAAAGTTGCCCTAGAGGAGAAATTGCAGGGTATTAAATGGAAGATTAAAAAAATGGCAAACTTTAAGAATGCTGAAGTGTTTCTCTGGGGGAAAAGCTCACTTCTATTTAATGGGGAGTGCCGATACTAGCCTATTTTACTTGGAAGCTCTTATTGCCAGTAACTAAATCTCAGAAAGTTACAGTAACTTTTTAGAATGAAAAGGAAGGAAAATATGACAGCTGGGAAACTTTTAAAGTGTTATGGGAAAGGAAGCACTGCTATTTGGGGAGTACTAAATTCAGATCTTAGGAGGGATACAGTAGATTCACCTCCAGGGTCTCGGTTCCTTACCTCTGCTACTCAGTTTTTGAACTAAAATTGGTAGACACTAAATTCAGATCTTAGGAGGGATAGATTCTACTCAGTTTTTGAACTAAAATTGGTAGAGTTATGGGACAGGAAAACTCACAAAATCTCAAAACAAAAACAGGACAGAAGGAGACAGTCGCCCTGTTTATCTGT